TATTCAGCAGCCTACAACATATCATCCATATTATGAGTTCAACATTAGACAATTCTACATTCTACAGACCAATGCATGACAAAAGTCTGGGTTTGTATTGCAGATACGTAGTACATTGAAATAGCAATAGAGACAGTATGATGTTGTCTACCTTGGGATCAATTTGTTCCGGTTTGAGAGGAAAATACGACGGTGTAATTTGAGAAAATTGGCACGCTCGGTGCCCCAGGAGTCAGCAGTCTTCTTGAAAAAGAGATCGTAGAAGTGCTGTATGACGGCGTCGAGACTGACGAAGCACTCTGCCCTCGAGCCGCCGATATCCGTGCCTATGCGGCCCCAGGCACGCAAAACTCAGTGTTGACGCAGCTTCTTGTCTGAGTACACTACCTGCAATCTAACGGTTATAACAACAAGTATCACCATGCGCACGCAGGATTAGGCGGGTATTCCTTTCTGTGATAATCATTTGTCTCGATGCTGGGGTCCTTCAGATTCCCATTTTGAAAATAACCGAGAAGAGTGAAGACCCATCGTTAGTTAATTGCACTCGTTTGTTTAATATGGCTGAATAAACTAAACAACCAAATGCACGTATACTACAAACCTAGGAAATAAAGCCGACGCCAACTTCTGAGAGGGAAAAAGGAAATGAGGAAATCTGACCTATAACACGAGTGTGAGACGAGTACGAGTTCAACCATGCCAAGGACGACAGAGAGCGGACGACCGTAGACGGTGCAAGCGATGGTAGCGCGGTCCTCGGGGTAGGATCCACTACGGCATCGCCCTTCACACGTAGCCGCTGCAATCCATCGCTACCGCCTTTCACCACCGTCTCGAACTCCACTCTCCACTTTCACCCCGCCGACTGTACCTGCTGAGCTACCAAAACGAAGTAAGCCACTAAGTAAGCCACTAATCATGCTATCATGATTAAAATTTACGAACGTTGTTGCATTGTAATTTGGTATTTCAGATATAAAGGTTGGCATATTTTGTTCTTGAAGTCACAAATAAATAAATAAACGGGTGGTCTTTCCAAAAAATATGCTTGACTTTCAAATTATGTAAAAGTTCAGACGATTGT